TGTACCCCCACCGTTTCCAGAGCCCCTAGGTGGTTGGCCCCTGGAGCCTCCAACTGGAGGGCCGTCGCAGAGGTTCGAGGGGCCCTATGGTCCCTTGGGGCCTGAAGTTCCCTGGGGGCCACACGAGCCCCAGGAGCCCCAGGGACCTCAAGGCCCCTGGGGGCCCCAGGGGCCCCAGCGGGCTCAAGTGGCCTGGGGGCCCCAGGGGCCCCAGGGGCTTGTGAGTGCTCAAGTGGGCTGGGGGCCCCAGGGGCAGCAGGGGGCTCAGCGGCACCAAGTACCCTGGGGACCCTTGGGGCCCTCAGGGCCCGAAGAGCCTCCATCGGCCCCATGGCCACCACCACCCCCAGGGCCACCAGAGCAGCCATGGCCTCCAGGGCCCCCAGGGCCCCCAGGGCCCCCAGGGCCTCCAGGGCCCCCAGGGCCGCCAGCTCCCCCCGGAGGTCAATTGGATGCAGGGCAGGGGAAACCGGGTGAGGTAGATGATGAGTTTGGCGGTGGTAAGCAAGGTAAACCACCCCGGAAGCATTCATTCTTGAGTTGGATGACGGGGGGTGGGGGGCCCCCTCCCTGGAAGCCTCTTCTACGGGGATTAACTTCTGGGTGGAGGCCTGTAAAGTTTTCTGCGGGAGGTGAGTCTCATCTTAGTAGTGGAGGAGGAGGCGGGGGCTCTGAAGACCCTTTTCTTGATAATGCTGCAGCAGCAGCAGCTGCATCTGCTCAGCAGGCGTTGCTTCAGACGCAGGCCACAATGGAGGGAGGGGGCTGGACGCAGCCAACAGCAGCAGCACCAGTAGCAGCACCAACACCACGAGAGAGCAGCGAGGGGGGCTGGGGCTTGGGCCCGTCTCTTACAGTCGGGAGGGGCGGTGCTAGGTTAAGTTTGGGGGCGATGTTCTTTGGAGGCGGGAAAGGAGAAAAGAAGAAGAAGAAGAAGAAGCAGCAGCTGCAGCAGCTGCAGCAGCAGCAGCAGCAGCCACTGCTGCAGCAGCTTCTTTTTTTCTTTTTTAATGAAGTATGTTGCTGCTGACGGCAGGAGAGAGAGCCGTCCTGTCTTCGGGTGCTGTCTTTCGTTTATATCGGCGTTGGTCTTCAAAGAGACAGAAATGAAGATATACTTCGTGTGTCTCTAGAGAGTCCATTCCTGCTGCTGCTGCTGATGGTGTTGCTGCTGCTTCTGGTGGTGTTGTTACTGCTGCTGCTGCTGGTGTTGCTACTGCTGCTGCTGCTGGTGTTGCTACTGCTGCTGCTGCTGGTGTTGCTACTGCTGCTGCTGCTGGTGTTGCTACTGCTGCTGCTGGTGCTACTACTACTGGTGCGCAGAGGGGAGACAGACATCTAGTATATAGATACATAGATTATATATATGCATATATATGTGTGTATACATTATGTATATATATGTATATATATATATAGTGTATACATTATGTATATATATGTATATATATATATATAGAAAGAGCAGTGAACCCCTTACAAATGAATTTCTAGAAGGAATTTAATAATAATAATAATAGTAGTAAAGTAGTAGTAATGTTTCTGTTATATACTCAGGAGGCAGCAGCGCAAAGAGATGCATTTAGTAATATCGATGCTAATTAGTTATTATTAATAATAAATTGTTATTGTTGAATGTTGCTATTATTATTATATAGACACTCCACCCAGTAGAAGTAATAAATACCCCTAAGGAGAGGGCCGAAGATGAAGAAGAAAGAAGGCGAAGATGTACAGCAGAGTCTTGTCTTAATACTTCTTTTGTTTTATAACGAATAGAAATAATATTAATAATAAATAGTAATAATAATATTCATAATAATATTCATAATAATAATAGTATTAATATTATTATTAAGAAGTACTAATATAAATATACATACATGCAAGCTGTGGGAGCCTTCTGCTGCTACACTGCAGCAAACACTGCAGCAGAGGCGAAGCAATAAAAATATATTAAAAGAAGATATAAATAAAACGAAAGCAAGAAGATGCATTTATACACGAAGTAGCGGCTCCAAGGCCGACTGACAGCAACAACAACAACAGCAGCAGCAGCAGCAGTAACAGCAGCAGCAACAGCAGCAACGACTCGAGGGGGGTGCTGCAGCAGCAGCAGCAGCAGCAGCAAACAACGACCGCAGACAAGGGGTGTGTGTGTGTGGGTGTTTCTGCATGTATTCTAGATATGTCTTCCAGTGTTTGTCTGTATATATTGAATTTTATTTTTGTTTTATTGTCTCCTTTCTATTTCTAGCTCCTGCTGCAGCAGCAGCAGCAGCAGCAGCAGCAGCAAACAGCATCAGCAGCAGCAGCAACGGCACTTCTACATTGGCCCCCCTAAGCCTCCCGCTTATCTCTCTATTTTATTGTTTTTTCTTGTATTTTCTTCTTTAAAATAGATTATTTGTCTTTATTAAAATGAATGGGTTTGTAAGCTTCATCCTTCTTCAGCTATTTGCTGCTCCCCCCAGTGCTGCTGTTAGCTGCTGCTGCTAGCAGACAAACATAGTTTCTTGTCTCTAGAGCCCCCTTTACTCTAGCAGAGACTTTCTTCTTCTTTTAGACAAGTTTATTGCATGCATGCAAACATACAGCTGTAAATAGAGAGTTATATTAGTCAGGACACAACGAAGCTCGAGGGTTTAGGGTTTAGGGTTTAGGGTTTGCAATGTATAACCTCGCTGTCTGTACACTGCAGATTGAGCGCATGGATGAAAGGAGGAGACAGCGCAGCCTCAGGGATGAGGGTATGCCCTTTAGAGGGGCAGAGCTGAAGCAGCAGCAACAGCAACAGCAGCAGCAACAGCAGCAGCAGCAGCAGCACATGGAGGCAGCAGGACAGAGAGTCGGCTCTGTTCTCCACTCAGAAGGCTCTTCACTCAGCAATGCTTCCGTACGTTAAGGTTTCGATTGCAGCCATTATGCAGCTGCAGCTGCAGCAACAGCAACAGCAGCTGCAGCAGCAGCAGCAACCAGAACGGCTGTTTTGCTGCTGCTGCTGCTGCTGCTGCTGCTGCTGCTGCTTGTTGCGGTGTATCGCTACTCCGCAATGTGTAAAGTTTAGTTTTTGCTTAATTTCAATATCCTGCGTGTACAGTGCGCTTGTTCTATTCCCGCTGTTGCTTTTGCTGTTGCTGCTGCTGTGCTGCTGCTGCTGCTGCTGCAGGATAGCACCTCAGCTTCTCTGCGGGAGAAGGCTAGGAAGCTGCAGCAGGAAGCGCTGGTAAGCAGAGACCAAGCCACGTGTGTTAGAGGGGCGCAGCAGGCTTTCAGGCTGCGAGTAGCAGAAATGCGAGAGCAAGAAGCAGCAAGACTGCTGCAGCTAGCGCAGCAGCAAGACACGGGGGGCCCCCCTCCAGGGGCCCCAGGGGCCCAGGGGGGGCCCCCCGAGGCCCTCTCCCCTACCTCTAGCGATCACCAGCAGCTCCAGGCGTTAAATTCAAACCAATATTCAGATGCCCCTGCTGCAGCCAACGGAGACAGCCCGACACGCAACGCGCATGGAGTAAGCCAGCACCTGCAGCAGCAGCTGCAGCAGCAGCAAGTGCTGCTGCTGCTGCAAAAGGGGATGCTGCGGTTGCTGCTACTAAAGCGTTGCTGCAGCAACAAGAGTGGCGTTGCTACACTTCTACAAGTAGCGGGAGCAGCAACAAACCTAGGTAAACGATTTGCTGCTGCTGCTGCTGCTGTGCTGCAGGAGAGTGCCGACGAGGCGCGGGTGGCTGAGCTGCTGGCTGCAGCAGCAGAAAGGAGAGACAAAGCAACATGCGTAAAGGGGGGGAAGCAGAGGGCCCTCTTAGCTATGGCGGAGAGGCTTGAGGGAGAGGCCCAGGCTCTTGCTGCTGCCCTCAAGCAGCAGCAGCAGCAGCAGCAGCAGCAGCAGCAGCAGCACGATGATATCGCATACGCACAGAGAGACACTGATCGATTCGGCCCCAGCTCTGCAAGTAGCGAAGCCTCCTTCAGTTCCCAGGCATGTCTAGGGTTTAGGGTTTAGGGTTTAGGGTTTAGGGTTTAGAGATTAGAGGTTCAGGCATGGCAGCAAGCGAGCGACATAGGGAGTCATCTGCAATGCTGGTTTGCGGCTGCTGCTGTCCTCAGCAAAAACAATACCCGCAGCAACAGCAGCAGCAGCAGCACCATTACCAGCAGCAGCGGCAGCAACCGCAGCAGCAGCACTATTATCAGCAGCAGCCTCAGGCATCTCAGCAGCCGCAGCAGCAGCACCATTACCAGCAGGAGGAAAAGCAGCGGCAGCAGCCACAGCAGCAGCAGCACTACCAGCAGCAGCCTCAGTACCAGCAGCAGCAGCAGCAGCACCAATATCCGCAGCAGCACGGGGAGATGCCGCTGCAGCACAGCTCAGCTGATAATCGCGTAAGCGCCTTTCTCTCTTAGTTGTCTCCCCCCCCCAGCAAGAATAGCAGCAGCAGCAGCAGCCTTCTGTCCTCTTAGCATCCCTCTTGTGCGCTGCTTCTGTTTGGTTTAGTGTTTCATGTCTCTGTCTCTGTTGCGTTGGTGCTGCTGCTGCTGCTGCTGCCAGGCGCAGCAGCCCTTCCCTACGCCCAGGGACTGCGACTCATCGTTCGGCATGAGCAGCGAAGGCCGTCTGCAGCAGCAGCAGCAGCAGGGGTTGCGGCAGCAGCAGCTGCAGCAGCACCAGCAGCAGCAAAGCACGGTAGCTGATGCAGCAAGGGATCGCGAAGAGGAGCTGCCTCAAGGCTATACTGTCCTTACAGGCAAGCGGAGAGCCTTAGAGCCCTCTCAGCCCTCTCAGGTAAGCTGAGGTGTCTGTACACCTGAACAACACTCCCCAGAATGCCCTGCTGCAGCTCAGTTAGCGGCGTTCTCCCCACGGACCGTAGACGCTGATAATCGCGTAAGCGCCTTTCTCTCTTAGTTGTCTCCCCCCCCCAGCAAGAATAGCAGCAGCAGCAGCAGCCTTCTGTCCTCTTAGCATCCCTCTTGTGCGCTGCTTCTGTTTGGTTTAGTGTTTCATGTCTCTGTCTCTGTTGCGTTGGTGCTGCTGCTGCTGCTGCTGCCAGGCGCAGCAGCCCTTCCCTACGCCCAGGGACTGCGACTCATCGTTCGGCATGAGCAGCGAAGGCCGTCTGCAGCAGCAGCAGCAGCAGGGGTTGCGGCAGCAGCAGCTGCAGCAGCACCAGCAGCAGCAAAGCACGGTAGCTGATGCAGCAAGGGATCGCGAAGAGGAGCTGCCTCAAGGCTATACTGTCCTTACAGGCAAGCGGAGAGCCTTAGAGCCCTCTCAGCCCTCTCAGGTAAGCTGAGGTGTCTGTACACCTGAACAACACTCCCCAGAATGCCCTGCTGCAGCTCAGTTAGCGGCGTTCTCCCCACGGACCGTAGACCATGCTGCTCCTGCTGCTGCTGCTGCTGCTGCTGCTGCTGTGGAATCAGGCTGATCAGGCGCTTGCTCAGGAGGCAGAGAGACTGCGGCAGGAGGCGTTTTTATGCAGAGACAAAGCCAGGTGCTGCAGCGGTGCGAAGCAGCGGCAGCTGCTGAACCTCGCGCTGCTAAAGGAAAGAAGAGCAGCAGATGCTATCGCCCAGATGGAGAACTGCGGGCTGTACAGCCACCAGAGCAGCAGCGAGAGCATGCAGCAGCAGCAGCAGCAGCAGCAGCAGCAGCAAACAAGCTACCATAATATCCAGCAGCAAGTCGGTAGAAGGGCTGCTGGAGAGCACAGGGGCAGAGTTGACCCCCGCGGGGACTCAGGCATATTTGATGGATGATGTCTCTGTTCAGGTGTACGTACACCCTAACTGCATGCAGTTAAGAAGGCCTCTGCAGCTTTTCTGTGGAGGCCCCCAACCTTTGCGCTTTGCGATTTGGGGCTGCATGCAGCTTGCAGCTGCTTAGGCAGGGAATGCATTTGCTGCTGTTGCTGCTGCTGCTGCTGCTGCAGCTAGCGTTTAAAAGAACGACATCCATACAGACGCCCCAGGCCTAGGACCTGCTGCCGCCCTTTGGTGGTGGGGTTGTTGTTATTCTTCTGAATTCCTTTTATTTGTTATTCTTCTCTGCAACGCACAGGCATCAAACGCAGCAGACACCTGGTTAATACATCAAGAGGCCCCCGCAAACTAACACCAAACCCTAAACCCTAATTCGTAAACCCTGAAATGCATTTACAGGCTGCCATTCATAGCAACCACGAAACGTAGACTGCAGTGGAGGCTGCTTGGCGCCTATCTGCTGCTGCTGCTTTTGCTGCTGCTGCTGCTGCTGAGGCAGAGGGGGCCCCAGCCCCGGTTCTGGCCCTAAGGAAGAGAGAAAGAAGATTTGTCTGATCTCACCGCTGAGCCTTCATTCTTTGTTCTGGGGGTGGCAGCAGATGGCGAAGGAAACCCAACGCAGGTTTGAGGGGCTTGTATAGCTGAAGAGCAGCAACAAGTGGAAGACGGCTGCAGCTGCAGTTTGCATGCGCATGCGGCGTTTGCTCTCTTCTCCGTCATCACACGAAGGACAAGCACATATATATGAATATATATATATATATACATGCAAAGTGAATGGCTTTCTCTCGTGAGCCCGTCAGATGTTCGGTGGGGCTGGAGGAAGCAAAGGGAGATGCATGCAGCTCGAATGAAGAGAGAACTGCTGCCCTCACTTGAACAGTTAAAACTGCTTCTGAATGCGAATGCAGCTCTATGGGGGTAGCTGCTGGAGACTTTACTTGCTTCAAAGGGTATTCTAATTTAATGCACGACTGAGTATTCCTTTTGAAGATTTTTAATCTTTCGGTTCAAGCAGAATCAAAGTAACTCCTGC